TTTTTTTTAGGTAAGGAGATCTTAACCCTTGACTTGGTGTTGTCAGCACCATGCTCAGCCAGTGAGCGAACCGACCATCCCTATGTGGGATCTGAACCCGGGGTCTTGGTGTTATCAGCACCACACTCTTCCGAGTGAGCCACGGGCCGGCCCTCTGGTTCCTTTCTACCTAATAATTTTTCAATTTGTCTGTCTCCTCTCGCATTTTACTATAAGCAGCAAAGAGAAACCAGGCCACATCTTCAACACTTTGCTTAGGAATCTACTCAGCTCAATATATTCAAGTTCATCACTCACAAATTCTACCTTCCACAAAACACAATTCAATTCACATAACACAATTCAACCAAGTTCTTTGCCTTCCCTCCAGTTTCCAATAACATGTTCTTCATTTCCATCTGCAGCCTCAGCAGAAGCACCTTTAGCATTGATATTTCTACCAGTCTCTTCAAGGTAATTGTCTTAGTCTGTTCAGGCTGCTATAACAAAATACAATAAGCTGGGTGGCTTATAGAGAACAGAAATTTATTTTTCACAGTTCTGGAGGCTGTTTCAGCAGATTTGGTATCTGGTGAGGGCTCACTTTCTAACAGATGCCTGTGCATGTCTGTGTCCTAATCTCTTTACAGGGACACACTTAATCAACTCTTTAAAGGCCCTATGTCCAAATATAGTCACATTTTGCAGTACTGGAGGTTAGAGCTTCAACATGAATTTGGGGGGATACAATTCAGTCCATTACACCCCTCTATGCTCACTCACTTCCCAATACTTACAGACTTTCCATCACTCAACCCATACACTCTACTCCCCTGCAGACCCCCATCACATACCTTGATTACACCCCACAGATCCTTCCATCACTGCCACACAGGCCCCATCATTAACCCTACATATTCACATCACTCACTCCACAGACCATACATCATTCGCCTTGCAGACCCACATTACACATCCAAGAGACCCCCACCCATGCATCATTCACATCACTCATCTCACAGAGCCCTGTCACCTTACAGGCTAACACATCAATGCCCCTACAGATCCTTATCACTTACTCTGCAGACCCCCTATCACTCACCCCACAGAACCTCATCAGTCACCTACAGATCCCCTATCACTCACCCTACAGACCCCATTACTTGCTTCACCGGCCCCATCATTAACCACATAGAGTCCTGTTACCCCTCAATAGCCCATCATTCACCCTACAGACTCCCCATCACTTAACTCATAGACCTCCCTACAGACTCATCACTTACTGTCCCCTGATTGCATCTAACAGAGACCCCATCACTAACCCCACAGACCCTCATCATCCCCTGTATTAGTCACCTCAGACTTCCATAACAAAATGCCACAAACTGGGTGGTTTAAACAACAAAAATTGGGCCAGCCCGTGGCTCACTCAGGAGAGTGTGGTGCTGATAACACCAAGGCCACGGGTTCGGATCCCATATAGGGATGGCTGGTTAGCTCACTGGCTGAGCGTGGTGCTGACAACACCAAGTCGAGGGTTAAGATCCCCTTACCGGTCATCTTTAAAATAAATAAATAAATAAACAACAAAAATTTATTTTATCACAGTTCTGAAAGGAACCAAGATCGAGGTGTTGGCAGGTTTAGTTTCTCCTGAGGCTTCTCTCCTTGGCTTGTAGATAGCTGCCTTCTTGCTGTGTCCAAATGGCCTTTTCTCTGTGTGCTCATGCCCCTGGTGTCTTTTCCTCTTCTTCTAAGGACACCAGTCCTATTGGGTTAGGGCTCCACCCTTATGCCCTTATTTAACCTTAATTACCTCCTAAGGACCCTATCTCAAATATAGTCACATTGGAGGTTAGAGCTTCAACATAGCCTGGCTGGTTAGCTCAGTTGGTTAGAGTGTGGCCTTGTAACACCAAGGTCAAGGGTTCAGTTCCCCGTGCTGGCCAGCCACCAAAAAAAAAAAAAAAGAATTTGTGGGGGACACAACTCAGTTCATAACACTCCCCATCACTCACCCCACAGACCTCATCACTCAACCCATAGCCCCCTATCACTCACCCCCAAGTTCTATTTCACTCACTTTGAAAACCCCATAACTCACCCCATAGGATCCCCACCGCTACTCAACCTACTGCCCCCCATACTGACCTTTGAGACCCTCCAGTCACTCATCCTACAGATCCCTCATCACTAAGCCCGTAAACTCCCCATAACTCACCTTGCAGAACCCATCGCTCACATCACAGATCCCCCATCACTCAACCCACAACAGATTTCATCTCTCATCCAACAGACCCTTTACTGCTTACACTGACATTTCACCTCTCAACTCACAGTCCTCCACCATTCACCGTATATACTCCATCACTCACCCCACACAACATTGATCAGTAGCCCCACAAATCCCCTATCACTTACCTCACAGACCACCCATCAGGCACCCACAGACTCCCATCATTTCCCCATAGATTCCCCATTACTCACCATACAGACCCCCATCACCCATCCCACAGTCTCTATCACTAATCTTCTAGATCCTTAGTCATAAAACAATTGGGTACTTGAGGTATTTTGTTGTTTTTGGCAGCTGGCTGGTATGGTACTTGAAGAATTTTGAAGACATGGCAAAGAATGAATTAATACAACCACAGATACCCATAGACTGGCTTCAGGTGACCTGTGGAGAGCAGGACTTCAGTTCAAATCCTGACTCTGCTCAGGCCTACAGTATAGCTTTGGAGAAATGCCTCACCATTAAGGCCAAAGCCTTATGGGATCTCACCCCAATTACTCTCTCATCTCATATGGCATCACTTACCTCACTGTTTACTCTATTTAAAGGCATGCTGACCACCTTGCTCTTTCTTAAACACACCAGGCATAGCCCCACCTTCCATCCATTGCACTGAGTACTCTCTGTGCCACTTACTATCCCTTTGACCTTGAGTTTGTTTCTCCCTTCAGAGCTCTCATCTGTAAAATTCTAATTATAATAATACCTACCTCACAGGGGTTTTATGTGCATTAAATGAATTAATATATGTAGACTATCTAGCATACACTCCATATTTGTTGAATGGAAGAATGAATAAACAAATCAAAGAGAAAGTTTTCCCCAATACTATGGCAAGGACCTCCTTTTTGATATTCTTGCTTCCAGTGTCTTTCCATCCAAGGCTCTCTCCACAACCAAGACAGAGGCATCTGACCACATCATACGCCTGTCTAAAACCTGTGCCCCAATGCCCTCAAGCTAAACTCCAAGCTCCAGGCTAATGGTTTGCTCATACTGCCCTATGATAACTTAAATGAGAAGCAGACTCTCAAACTCCTTGTTTCCATCAGAAAATCCAGCAGTGCCATAAATGTTTTTGACTCTGTGCATATGGGACAAAAGAAACATGCCAATAACCCTCTTCTGGCTTTCAAAGAAATCTCCCCATTATTTATACCTTCTAAAAAATACAGAGGTCTATTTAATATTATTACCAA